TTTTAAAAAAAAAAAAAAAAAAAAAAAAAAGCCCCGAAAGGTTTCAAACAAAAGGAAATGTCCTTCATTCAACACTGGTAAAATCTTTCAGCGCTGTCAAAGTGACTTCAAAGCTTCTCCACATCTGCCTGCTCCAGCCAAAGCTGCCTGTCCTCAGGCCTTTGTGATGTACCCTTCTCTGATCAGGAAGTCATAGATTTTCCTGGTTTTGTTCACATCGATCTTGATGAGGGCTCGAGCCTGCGCCAGTCTCAGGCCCCCCTGTTTGTTGCACTCGTTCACTAAAGCAGCTTTATATTCCAAATAGGCTCCAGGGACCAACCTCACCATCTGACAGAGCTGCAAGACAAAAGGTGAAGTTAATAAACACCAACACTTGTCATGCTCCTCCATTCCCAGCTCCCTGCTGGGGGAGGAACATGGGGAATATTTTTCTGCAAACACTCTCAATGTGTTTTTTTTTTCACGGGGGAGGCCCACGGGAATGGCAGGAGGAGCTGTTTGGATCCACAGGTAGGGAGGGGAGGAGCTTGCTGGCTGCTGCATTCAAAAACATTCCTGACCGAAAAATAAAGGAGGAGGATGAAAGCAAGCCCTGGGCTGGCAGGAGCACAGCTCTGAGTGTGTTCTGTGTGGGCGTTGCTCCTTCCAAACCCCGGGAAGCAGATGCCAGACTTGCAAGCAGCAATTGGGCCCGCTGGCCAGGAGCCAGGGAGGGCATCTGGCTGCTAATCCCCTGCAGACTCGGCTTTAATACCTTCCACACCAGCAGCTCCGCCGGCCCCTCCGGAAGTCTGGCATGGAAGCTGCGCAGGGAGGGCATTCCGTGTGTGTGGAAGTTTGGGAAGGAACAGCTTTCCACAGCCCCTGAGCTGCCTGGCTGCACAGCTCCTGTTTAGTTCCCGAGGAGCAGCTGCCCTCCAGGAGCCTGGCCTTGCTCCCCACAGGGATCCTGCCTTGTCTCCTCTCCTTAGGAAGGAAATGCTTCATGCTCGTCCCTCCTTGATGGGAAATTGAAGAATTTCTCGGACCTCAGACTTTCTGTCTCAGATGACGAGGCAATCAGACTCCCCCCCGCCCCATTAATGCCCTGTCACCATTATTTGTGTGCCAAACAGAGCCAGAAATGCCCGTTCCATGTGGAGCTGGGAGCTGATTCCCAGCGCTGCCAGCTCCAGCCAAGGGGAGACGAACATGGAGGGAGAGGCTGGAATGCAGCTGTGCCTCATGGGCACTGCAATCTGCCCTGGGCAGTCTAAGGACTTCTATTAAAAAATAATAATCTTTTATTTCAATAGTTTTCCACTGAATTAGAGGACAGGCCTGCACCGGGCTGAAAAACTGAGTCATAAATGCACAACAGGCCCCCTTGCTGTGTGTTCCCCTCTCCTGGGGGCTGCAGCCCCATTTCTGTCAGCTCTGGTGATCTCACCTGTGCTTCAGGTGAGTGCAAGAGCTCTGTAAGATGAGCTGCAACACCAGGCTGAGATAACAACTCGTGGCTTACAGAAAGCCCAGTCCCATTCCTTGCCACATGTGCAAATAAAAACCTTGACAGATGCACTGTAAAGCAGAAATATGGAAAAACCATGAGAAGAACACTGTTATCACGTCCATGGCTCACATTTGTGAAACCCCACTACAGCTGGTTGAGGTTTGACTCTGAGATATCTCTAAAGGGAAGAGATTTGCTATTCTTGGGGTGTCCTGTGCAGCACCAGAAGTTGGACTTGATGATGCTTGTGGGTCATACTGGATCTTCTAACAGCACCTAAAAACACCCTGGTGCTCTGCACCTTTCTTTGCTAAATCAGCCAGTTTGCTGCAGCTCTGCAGGATGTGTGGCACAGGAAATTAAGCAGCCAGCTGGAAAACCTGAATGATTTTTGTGAGCAGGAAAAGCAATCTGGGCCTGTGACTGAGGTGACATTCACAGCCCCCCAGACACGGTGTGAGCAGCCCTGGGCTGGGAAGATACAGTCTTACGGAGATGATCTTTCCATCTTTCCTCACCTCCTTCTCCTTCTCGTTGAGTTTCTCTGTCCCTGGCAGCCCTGTGAGGTTCAGAGGTGGGGCGCTCCGTCTGCCTGCAGGGGTGAGAGAGGAAACACTCAACAACCGGGAGCAGTTTGGCTCTGGCTGCTCCTGAGGTGTGTCATGGAGGGAACTCAGTGCCTGACGTTAGCCCAGAGTGATCCAAGTGTTTACAGACAGGCTTATTTAGGGCTTAGCATGAAGCTGTGCTGATTGATAAAAAGGCTGATGTTGCAATGGACATAGTTCAGCCCTGTGAACGCTGCATGAGACTCCTGTGCTGCTGGATTTTGGGAGGAACTGCAAGACAGCAGCTTTTGTCAGACTGGCCCGAGCGTGGCTCAGCTGGGCTGAGCCTCCTGACTAACCCAGCTCAGGGAAGGTGTGCCAGGGTGTGCGGGACCGACCTCGGCCCTGAAACCAGGGCCTTGTAAGGATGCTGGGATTATTTACTGCCGTGATTACACAGCCAATTTCTCTGGCATTACTGACAACTTCATGAGGCAGAGTTGTCTTTAAATGCCTTTAAATAGGGTGCAGATACTGCGAAGGAAACGCAGTTTGGAGGTTTATTTTTGTCTGTTAGGATAAACAGTCCTGAAAGCAATATTTATCACAAGGTCATCTGCTGTTTCTCACTTTCACTATTGTTTATAATTTTGCTGGACTGTAGCTGGCACAGCTTAAGCTTCCACAAGGGCTGTCTACTTGCAGGTTTGGCTTCTTTTGCATAATAGCACTTTTTGGCAACTTCCAGAGCTCAGGACAAAGTTTGGGTTATTTATTCACATTTTTAAGTCTCTCGCCCCTGTGCTGTGGGTTGCATATTCAGCAGTTACAGACAGGTCTCTATCCCAGGATGACTTCCCAAATTCAGCAAAGTGATGAGGCCTTGGGAAACGGGCAGCTCTGTTTTCCCTGTGCTGGTGGCTGCTCCAGGCCCTGCCCTGTCCAGGTCCTGCCTCTGGCACTGGGGAGTCTCTCTGTCAACTGGGCACCTGCAGGAACAGATGGGATCTGGCTGCATGTGGGGAGTGCTCAGGGGAACTGAAGGACTAGAGAAGCCGGAGTGTGAGTCTGTGGGAGGTGTAGAGGAAGTTACTTCCCAGCACTGCTCCCTCTTCCCAAGGCCTGGAACGAGTGTGCTGTGACGAGACGCAGAATTTGGTTTGACTCTTTTATAAACCCAGAAAATACCACACACACACACACACACACACACACAAACTGCATTAAAGGCAGCACATTAAGGCTGCAAAGTTAAGAGCACAAAATGCAGAAGTGAGGCATTAATTTGCCCTCTTGTATATTCAGTGTGATGCAGCCTTTAATTAGAGCCACGTGGCGGCTCTTCCGCAGCATCCCCGCCGTTCCCTAGGCAGGATGTTTGCTTAATTAGCAGCTATATGGTATTTTGTTTGGGTTGTGTTCAACATGGGACGCTGCTTGTAAACACTGTGTGCTATCAGAGCTCCACAGGCAGCACGGTCCATGTGCTCCCGGGCTCTTCCCCTTCATGGGACACTGGGTACTCCACAAAAAACGAAGCTCATTCCTCCTTCCAGACCTTCAGCTGGGAGAGACTGTCCTCACTTCATGGACCCTGAGATACACAGGCCATTTTCTCTCTAAAAGACCAGATTTTGGCCATCACCAAATGTGTTTAGGACAGTGCATAGTGCACTGACTCATTGCTTGGTATCCTGACCCGAATTTCCAAGGCTCCTGGCAGAAACGAGGAAGAACACACAGACTCAGTGTCCAGCCCTGAGAAGTTTGACTCAAGTGGTTTCACGGCATCCACATAAAAACTGGGCGTAGGGACAGAGCTAAAGGCAGTTTCCCCTGGCAACATTTAACAACCTTGTGGTAAAACTTCATCCCAGTCTCAGTCACTGAATATCACCCTGTGACCTCAGCAAATGGGGTGGGAGTTTGTATGTTCATGAGGGCCTTGGCTGGTCCCTCACTCTGTCCTTACTGGGCGCTGAAAGAGGCTGGGGTCTTCTTGGTGGAAAAAAACCCCAGAATTTGTGCTTAAAGAATGTGAAGTTTCTTCTGTTCCCTGCCTTGCTAATGTAGCTTTAGGATTGGTTTTGACCTGTAGACAGAAAAATCTAGAAATTCAGAGAAAAGTCCTACAAGACATGCAAGGGGAATGAGCTGCAGATTGATGTAATGTTGACTTGAGCAGTGCTTAATCATGAGGCTTGAGACTGACACTTTAGCACTTGAGAAAAGGAGTCAGAAAAGGGCTGTCAGAAAGACATTACTGGGTTTTTATCAGATCATCTGACACTTACCTGTAGTTGAGGGAACTGGTACTGTGGGAGTCAGGCCGGAATCACTGGAAAGAAAGGAAAATTTCAAATTGCTTTAAGAATGGCTGCATATATTAGCCCTGAAAGTACTTCTTCCCCAGCTTCTAATAATGATACAATTCAACTTGCATAGCCCAAGCCCTGATCTGAAATCAATAGGATTTCTAAATATTTAGTGCTCCTACACTGAAGACCATGTCTAAAAAAACCCCAAAAAATAAATGTGGAGGAGGACACAATAACAAATTCAGTGGAGACTGACTGGGGAAATTCCAAACCATCTCCTGCACACAGGATGCACTTCCTTTACGTTGCAGCTTGCTCCTTAAATCAAAGTGCTCATGCAGGGTGACGACACATTAATAATGCTGCTACATCTCAAATCATTTGAAATATTCCAAGTGCCATCTGTGCCCTCATTAATACTCATAAAGACCTCATCTCCCTCCATGACTTTATGAACAGCAATTCAGTTCCTGAAATATAAAACACAGAAAACTGAGGATTTTGAGCCCTTAGCCCCTTCCTTGCCTGCCCTCAACAAACACTACTGCTGTTACCCACTTCTGACTTTTGCTGCAATAAATTGGGAATTAATTTGTTATTATCACACAGGAAGATGTGTTTGATGTGAACTAAATCATGGAATCCCAGGATAGTTTGGGTTGGAAGGGGCCCTGAAGCTCATCCTGTCCCACCCCCTCCCGTGGGCAGGGACACCTTCCACTAGGCCAGGCTGCTCCCAGCCCCGTCCAGCCTGGCCTGGGACACTCCCAGGGATGGGGCAGGTTCCTGGGGACCCTGTGGAGGTGCTCACATGTCTGCCTGGCGGCTGAGCCACTGCTGGCAGGCACTGCTGTCCTGGATGTACTGCAGCACCTCCGAGAGCATCGTGCGCTTCAGCCGCTCCTCGTCCCGGCTCTTCTTCAGGTGGTCGTAGGTCCTGGCACCTGCAGCAAACACAGAGCACCTCCTCACCACCTGCCTGGGCCACAGTGCTCACACTGTCCCTTCCTGCTTTAGGGAATAAGTGGGAAGCCCTGTAGCTCTGGCCCAGACTCTGCTGTTCTCCCTCATGACAACTGCCTGGCACCAGAAGGGATGAGATTCCACCCCGCACCCCTTCCCCCATTAATTTCAGGCCAAAAACAAACAAAAAAAGGCTTCCATGCTCCAATTCCAGGATAAAACAGGCCATTTCATTCATGTGGAGGTCTTAGGCTTCTCTCCAGATATCACACGTGTTGACAGGCAGTGAAAATGTCCAGAGAAAAAGCCCTGAGACCACTGTGCCATGGCATAGATGTTTTTTTCTGGGTCTTTCGCAGAGTGGTGACTAGAGCAGAGCTGTGCCTGACAGTGGGATTTCCCAGCTGATGGCTGAAACCAGCTTTGAAACGGCCCAGCTGGGCTGTGCATCACTCCTGAAGCCTTGTTCAGTCACAGAGCCAGGCAAATGCCTTTCAGAAAAAAAGTGTCTTTTTATTCAACACATCCCGAATGTTGTAAAATCATCCTTCCCCTCCGTGATGGATGGGAATGGGCTGAATAATGCATCAGGTACTTACTGCAGAAATTGGTGATTCCTGCTGCTCTGTATTCCTGGAGCCTCTTTATTTCCCTTCGCAGCTCAAACTCCACTGTTGGACCCCCCGAGGAAGCAGGAGGGGAATCCAAAGAACAGAAGTGGGTCAGTGGGGTGGATTGGGAATGTGGCTATTCCCTATCTGCCTACACAGGTCAGCTATGAACACACAAACCACGGCCAGGGTCAACCTCCCTCCACAGGATCTCAAACCCACTGTGTCCCAACGTTCCTCGGTCACAGATCTGAGTTTGTTTCTAACATTTGTGTGCTCAGAAAAGTTATTTTCTCTTCATGCATCGACAGTCACTTTGCCATAGCCTGGACAAGGCAAACAACAATAATGTGGGATTTCTGGAAGGCATTTCAATAAGTTTGAAACACCCCTCCAGCCAGGCTGCTTATGTATCTAATATCCTCTTAGAACTACCATTTTCATAAGCGGACCTTCCAAAATTTTTCCTTCCAGACAACTGTGGGTTTTTTTGCAGTCAGTAGGATGAAATTAGTAAATGTTTCTTTTGCTCAGAGATATTTCCTGCCTGTAGCTTTTATCAGCTGCCTTCCTGCTTCAGTTTCACAGGCAGCAAGTTTCCTTGTGGATTGGTTTCCTCCTGCTGCTCAGCAGATCTGTGCACTGCCTGTACCTGGCTGTCAGGTTCACCTGAGGATTCGCTGTCACTACAAACAACAAAACCAGGCTGCAGGAGCAGCACTCACATGTGGGACTCCTGATTTTGCAGGTTCATGCTTTTGGTATTTCACACAGGGTGTCCCGAAAACACAGTCACAACCGTGTAAATGCTTTGTTCCTCCTAATGAGCAACAATCTTCCCAGTTTAAGTCACGGAATGAAGCAGGATGTGGTGACTCGTTCTGGAATCTGCCTAAATGCAGGCCATGAGATGATTCAGGGATGGAACAATGCCTCTCCCTTAAGGTAAGGGACATAATGACCACTGCACTATGTAATTATGTGACAGAGAATAGTTTAACCTGTATCTTTCAAAGAATTCACAGTTTGCTGCCAGCTCCCAATCCCTCCATATGGACATAATATAGGGATTTTGTTCTTCCCGTGATACAGAGTCCCAGTAAATAAACAGTGGTCTTCTGATTAAAAAAAAATATTAACCTCTAACACACGACCAGAAGGTTCAGCCAACCGAGAACTCAAACAAGGAACTGGGACAACAGTTTAGTGGAAAAAAACCACTTGCTGCTCGCTTAATGTAATCAAACCACAAACATATTTGTTTTTCTGAGGCAGTCAGAGGCAGTGGGGAGGAGGAGGAGAAAAACAACCTGCTGCCCTCCAGGAGAGGGATATATTTAGGGGAACGAGCTGCTGGCCAGCCCTGGCTGTGCCTGTGGAAGAGCCCTCCCTGTACTCACGCGCGTGGCTCTCGATGAACTTGTCGTGCTCCACCGGGCCCAGGATGCGGGCGAAGCGCCGCATGGTCTCGTACAGGTCCTGCACCTCCTTCGGGTATCGCCTCTCCAGGACTACAGGGACACCAAGAAGGGACAAAAAAAAAAAGGGACATCACTGCTACTGTCAGGAGAAAACACATCTGTGGGACAGGAAGTGACTCCCAGCCCCTGAACCGGGGCAGCTTCGAGGTCTTGGCCGTTTTTGCGTCACAACTACAGATTGCTGAGGAGAAAGCAGTAAAATTATACAGCCCTTAAAAATCCTAAAAGCATAAGCAGTGATACTTAAATGTTGTATGGTCATTTCTTCCAATAGTGAGGTGCATTCAAAGGGCCTGGATTTCACCTTCCCCCACCCCCTCTCCCTACTCAGCAGAGCCTGAAATGCTTTTGAAGAGCAATTTTGAGGCAATAACTAAAACACTGAGCTGGGAGTAGTTGGAGCCAGACGGCTGGAAACAGTTGGGGCAGGAAATCTGCTGGAATTTGGACCATCTGAATATGGTCCAGCATGAATAACCCACACTGGTGACCTGGAAATGCTGAATGTGTGAAGTTTTGCCACTTTGAAGTGGAGCAGATACACCTGATACTCACTCTGGAATTTTCTGAGGTTGATCAGGCCATGATCTCGTATAATTCTGCAAATGAGAGCAAAATGGTATTAATGGGAGCCATTAACTCCTGCATTGCCTCACAAACACAAAGGCTTCAGAAGAAACTTTGATTTAGGCCATCAGAGGGGCCTAAAATTAAACATGAATGAAATTTCCATAACCCTTGAGCTGGCTGCAATGGAAACATGAGGCAGTGTGGCTTTAATCAGAGCAAATTTTGGATAGTGCTGTGCATTAGCCCAGAGCACAAAGGGAGCTGCAACCTCTTTAAAGGCTGGAAACGGCTTCTTTAGGCACAGATTTCACATCTACAATATCTTATAATTTATCCTTCCAAAATCAGAGGTAAAGAATGTCTCATGAACATGATTTCCAGCCTTAGAGAGAGATAAATGTCCCTCTGCTACAGCAAGGGGAGAGCTGGACTGTAAATCCCACCACTGGCAGTGGGAGGAAAGAATTTTTCCACGCCAGACTGGATTTTAAAAAGAGCCAAATGATTCAGGTAGCTCTGAGCTCCAAGTGCTCCTGACAGGACCGGGGGAAGGAGCAGAGGGAAGGGCAGGTGCATGAGAAACACATTTGTCTCCAGTTCCAGCAGTGCCATGTGGTTGTTTGCTCTGTGGTGACTGGGCTTTGGCAAATAAGGCACCACAGAGTTGGGCTGTCAAGGTCAGGCTGGGACTTGCTCTATAAAATCCATTTTATTTAGTATGGACAAAAATCTTCCTGTCCCACGCAGAGGCACCTCTCTGAGAGTGACATCAGCACTTTTGTGCCACTTTTCGGATTTTTGTCCCACCCTGCTTCAGAAGCTTCACAAAACCTGACACTGAGTGATGGAACTGAGCCCTGTGGCACTTTCCTTCAGTACGACATGACTGATCACGGTGGAAATTACACCACCTAAATACTTTTTATTTCTGAATTACAGAGAAGCAGGTCAATCCACATCCACTCTTCCCTGTCACTCGTGCTGCTCTGTGAGGAGGACTGGAGCAGCCTCGCTCCAAATCACTGATTCTTCCAGCAGGGAGTAATCCAGCAAGATATGATTTTAAATATTGAACAAAGTATGTGAAAGTTATAATAAAATTTAATTCAATTAATAGATTGAGTCATTCTAGAGCGCTGTCAAATGAACTGAATAAATTATTCAGCCTCACGTCAGCAATCGAGTTATCTTCAGTGTGGAACACTAACTTAGGGACCACTAAGAATTAAAAATAATGATGCAAATATTTCTGTGGAGAAAGTGGGGGTCCAGCAATTAGTCACAGCCTGGCAGCCTTTTTTTTTTTTTTCCCCTGAAGTAGGAAATTAATGATGTGCAATCCATCAGCATTGCACAGGGAGGGAAAGAACAGAGATTTGCCTCCTTCTGTCTGGTTCCAGCCCTGGATCTGTGATGGGTTTTCCAAATTCCGTCTAAGTTTCCATTCTGCAAATGGGACCTCGAAAGGTGTGTTGGAACACCGGGGACCAAAATGTATTAACGAAGCAAAGGAACACAGTTATTGCTTGAAAACTCACTTTTTCCTTCTCTGCCTTTCCTTTAACCTGGAATGATAGATATCTACAACTGCAATCTTCAGAGCTGCAAAATAAAAAGATTAAAGAATTCGTAAGTAATCACCGTGTGAGGCTGATTTTCAAGCACTCATTTCGTGGTAGGCTGAAATGGTCACTGCTTTGCTGTTTTAAAAGACTTGTGGCAATTCTACAGGGGCATCAGCTCACTAAATACTGACCTGCAGTATGTGCTACCTGTGGAAGCTTTTTTTTGCTTACTCCTTCCAAATTCATTGCTGTAAATACAATGTAAACATGAACCCGGATAGATCCTGAGAACTCTTTTCCTTCTTGGACTGTTTTACCATCAGCACTTATTTGTTCCTTCATACATGCAATTGTTAAGCATTTCCTCTGAAAAGCAAATTGATCAGATTTAAGGATCTGAGGTATCATCTTCGGGCAAAGGAACTCCAAAAAACAGACCCAGTTCTGAACTGTGAAGATTCAAAGTAGCCTTTGCTACAGTTCTTAAAAACATTTAGAAGATTCCAGCTTGTTAACTTCCAAACTTATCTGTCTGCCAGGAGAACAAAGAACAGTTCAGGACAATGTAAAGAAGGAAAAAGCCATGCTCATTAGAAATCATGTCCTTTCCCAAATCAAACCTGTCTGCAGGCTGGCTGATCCACTCACAGATCCTGCAGCTTCCTTTTCCTGTAACCATCAGGTTAATAAACTTTATTTTTTTTTTCCCTGTATATTCTTGAAAGACAAGATAAAGAGACACCTATCACCTCCCCCTCCCTCGTTCTGTTAAGTAACACACAAATTCTGGGTCATTTTGGCTGATTTCCTGGTGGCTTTTCTTTCCTTTACATTAATCATTTCCACACGCTCTGGGAAGGAAGAGACCTGAGCCCTGACAGTGGTTTAGAGGCTGTGAGACAACAACCAGCCCTTGGAAAAAGGGGAAGAACACGTCCCTTTTCATCCCAGTGCTGTGGGAACAGGGGTGGCCCAAGGGGGGGCAGAACCCAGAATCCATTTTCCCTCAGCAAAGCTGATAGTGGCAGTTTATTGATTGCACTCTCAGATAAATAATTAATAATGCAATCAAGAAGTGTGGTTATGTGTCTGGTTTAAGTATGTATTTATGTGCAAACACCAGGAAGCCCCCCAGCCCCTGGGAAATTCATCTGGGCATCCCTCTGGGAAATCAAATTTCATACAAACAGGGACAGCTGAAGCCCAAAGGCTGTGGGGACTCACTCAGGAGCCACAGTTTGGGGTGACACTTGCTGATCCCAAGCAAAGAAATCTTCAGTTTATACCTAATTATTTGATGCTAATCTCAGAGCAAAAGGTTCCATGTGAGCTGGGAGGGGTGGTGCAATACTCCTACTTATTTCTGCAAATTTCTTGCATTTTCAGGCATCAGTGTGTATTTTCATAAGGAGGTTATTTAAGTTTCCCAATTTAAGAACAAGCAGAGATAGCAAATTCGCCTTCGTGCTCAGATGTGGGGACGAGAAATTGGGAAATGCAGCAAGTTAAACATGAATGAAATCCATTAGGAAGGGTTGGAATTGGTGCCAATTTATAGAAAATATTTTTGTAGTTTTTAAACCCTCTGCAAACTCAGCCAGCTTGTTATTTCTGTGGGGTTTGTGTGGGCAGAGCTTAATAAGTACATGCAGAAACTGCACTGGAGAACCTCTATAAATATCACAAGTAATTATGCACCTCTAACCATCGTTTTGGTGCTTTCACCTGAGTGCACAATATTCTAAAGAAATCATGATCAGCTGGGGAGGGGAAGGAGCAAATGAAGGGAAAAAATGGAGCTCCTGCTCACGGAAAAATTAGTATTTGCTGCCACATGGCCTTTTTGGAGGGGCTTTTGTTTTTAATAGACATATTCACACAGGACCAGGCGATTACCAAATCTGGAATGCATGAATAACTCCGGCTACTACACTGTTACACACTGCATGGAAATGAGCAAGGAGATGCTGCAGGAATGAGAATGATTTGCCTGTGCTTTCCCCCATGGATCCTGGCAGGGAGGCCGTTGTTTGTCCCGGGAATGTGAGATAATCCCGGCTGACAGGGCGCTCCCAGTGTCCCTTCTGGGCGCTGATACGGCTCGTGGTGCTCTGAAGGACCCGGTGATGGGCAGAAATTCAAGGCTCCTTTCCCCACGCCGAAAAACCCACAATATTTTGGTTTCTCCAGAGTGTGTCCAAAACAAGCTTCTTTCCTTTTCATTCCCCTTCAGCCTCGTTTGGTCTGCAAAAAACCTTGTTGAGCACTAATGAGTGAGACCTTTGTTCCAACAGAGGGAACCTGCTTGGCATGGGAGGCCCAAATAAATGGGAAGAATGCAAACTAATCCCAGTAAACAGGCTGCGTGACCAGTGTGTGCAGGGCTGGGACAAACTGAGTGGCTGCAGTCCAAACTCACCCTCCCTGGAGGAAAGCAGGACCCATGGCAAACAGTTATCTGCCTTTGGAGCATGGCAGGAACCTCCACAAGGGAATAAACATCATGTTCTGTCTAGGAGGACACTGGCGGCCTTGTAGCTTAAAATCAGATTTCCCTGCCGGTTGCAGCTTATTTCCACTCACTTCTGAACTTGTGGTTTCAGCAATTACTTTGCAGTGTTGGAAGTGAAAGTCATTTACATGAGAAGGGGGGGGGGGGGGGAAAGCTGGGAAAAAGATAAATTACCAACGTTCTAATTCAGGCTGATGAAAACTTGTAGTTCATGAAATATTCAGGCACTGTGGGCTGCATTAGGGTTGTAACTGGTTGGTGCTTTTGATCTGTCCATTATGTTTTTGTGTAACTGCAATATGTATTTGCATTCCCTTACTGTAGTGCCAGCACTGAATAAAAGAGAACAATTCCGGAATTTAATTGAAATACGAGAGATTTCATCCAATTTCTGCCATCTCACTGATATCAATAAGTGACCAAAGGATGCCTGTGACCTCCTGTGAAGTGGGAGGAGCTGGTGAGGCAGCAGGTACAGCTTCTGTGTTCATCATAAAAGCTGCCTGGGAGTCTTTTCGCCTTGTATTAAATTGCATTTTCTCGTGGGAATACCAAGAACTTGCTTAATGTGACACAGGGAAATATAACAGAGAAAATATATGATATATATAAAATTATATATGTATCTCATATAAAAGATATAATGCATCAGAAAACAGAGATCAAGCAGCTCACATCTAGAACTTCCAAAAAACTAAAAAAAAAAAAAAAAAGTTAAGAAAAGCAATGTGGGAGAAAGAGAACAAGGGGGAATTCCACTCCAGTGGAAGCATCAAATATTCCTGTGTGATGTGCAGCCTCAACACTGCAGAGCTGAGCTGTGACTTGTGAACCAAAGGAAAGAGAGACCAAAGGAACTGCACTGGCTGGTGTGTTCTCAGGGTCGAGCCCGAGTAACTCTCAGAAAACGGAATAGAAAAGCAGTTTTCAAAAATTAATCTGGAACCCAGTGAGGTTTAACGTATGGCAGGAAAACAAACAGAGGATTTTTTCACCAGCTCATCCTTAATCTCTGCTGCGAGGCCCCATGCGGGCTTCTCTGGGCTATAAAATGTGTTAAACCCCTGTTTTACATCTTTACCTTTGCATCCAGGTTGCCTCACAACCCTCTCTGCCTGTCAGCTACAGAGTATAAAGGCTTCTTAAACCATCCCTGCCTTCAGAGCCACATGTTGAGCCATTTTCTGCACTGTGAAATCCCACAATTAGGTTGCAAAATATTCTCAAGCAAAGTCAGCAGCTGAGATCTTTAAAACTGCAGGACAGGGAGGATGTGGCNAAACATCATGTTCTGTCTAGGAGGACACTGGCGGCCTTGTAGCTTAAAATCAGATTTCCCTGCCGGTTGCAGCTTATTTCCACTCACTTCTGAACTTGTGGTTTCAGCAATTACTTTGCAGTGTTGGAAGTGAAAGTCATTTACATGAGAAGGGGGGGGGGGGGGGGAAGCTGGGAAAAAGATAAATTACCAACGTTCTAATTCAGGCTGATGAAAACTTGTAGTTCATGAAATATTCAGGCACTGTGGGCTGCATTAGGGTTGTAACTGGTTGGTGCTTTTGATCTGTCCATTATGTTTTTGTGTAACTGCAATATATATTTGCATTCCCTTACTGTAGTGCCAGCACTGAATAAAAGAGAACAATTCCGGAATTTAATTGAAATACGAGAGATTTCATCCAATTTCTGCCATCTCACTGATATCAATAAGTGACCAAAGGATGCCTGTGACCTCCTGTGAGGCGGGAGGAGCCGGTGAGGTGGCAGGTACAGCTTCTGTGTTCCTCATAAAAGCTGCCTGGGAGTCTTTTCGCTTTGTATTAAATTGCATTTTCTCGTGGGAATACCAAGAACTTGCTTAGTGTGACACAGGGAAATATAACAGAGAAAATATATGATATATATAAAATTATATATGTACCTCATATAAAAGATATAATACATGAGAAAACAGAGATCAAGCAGCTCACATCTAGAACTTCCAAAAAATTAAAAAAAAAAAAAAAAAGTTAAGAAAAGCAATGTGGGAGAAAGAGAACAAGGGGGAATTCCACTCCAGTGGAAGCATCAAATATTTCTGTGTGATGTGCAGCCTCAACACTGCAGAGCTGAGCTGTGACTTGTGAACCAAAGGAAAGAGAGACCAAAGGGACTGCACTGGCTGGTGTGTTCTCAGGGTCGAGCCCGAGTAACTCTCAGAAAACGGAATAGAAAAGCAGTTTTCAAAAATTAATCTGGAACCCAGTGAGGTTTAACGTGTGGCAGGAAAACAAACAGAGGATTTTTTCACCAGCTCATCCTTAATCTCTGCTGCGAGGCCCCATGCGGGCTTCTCTGGGCTATAAAATGTGTTAAACCCCTGGTTTACATCTTTACCTTTGCATCCAGGTTGCCTCACAACCCTCTCTGCCTGTCAGCTACAGAGTATAAAGGCTTCTTAAACCATCCCTGCCTTCAGAGCCACATGTTGAGCCATTTTCTGCACTGTGAAATCCCACAATTAGGTTGCAAAATATTCTCAAGCAAAGTCAGCAGCTGAGATCTTTAAAACT